GAACGAATTTACGGAAAATTAACTAACGAACGGAGACGTAACAATATATATATTACTAGTAATGAGGAGGTATATAGCAGTGCATATGCAAGACTATTAGAACATATTGCAATAGTATATGACAGAAACTTGAGCATACATTTTAAATCCTTTTTAATAAAATATTTACTTACGCATAACACATTAGTATCTATAATACGAAGTTGTGACTAACCAAATATTCTTACATCCATTTATTTAATTTACTTAAAAATGTAGTTAGCTACGATTAAGTTTTCATTTTTATGTATTTTTAAGGCTACTCAAGTTATTAGAATAGAAAGGGTTATGTATTATCAAGAATGACATCTATTGAAATCATAACAATAATTATTTTAGATTACCTAGTTACGGTGTGCTTATTTTTTTTTCTTCATTTCTTTGCCGATCGCATTGAACTTGAAGTAAACTAAATTATTATGTAGTTATTGCGGTATGTTTATTTGCGACAATTTAGAGATAAGCTTGAAGTACATGGATTGTTATTAATGTTTTGTGTATTAATATTATGTTATAACTTATATTATGACGAAGCTTTTTTTTGTTTTGTTGTAAAATTTAAAACTAAAGTGCTAGTCTACTTTAATTTTGTTGAAGTTTAACTTAAAACTAACACTAACGAGTGTTTATGAGATGTAACTTTTAGTTTTTTTAACTTTAAAAGAATCAGAAGTTGACAGAAGCTAGAACCATTGAAAGCATCTATATTAGTATTACTATTAAGTAACTTAGAGCATTCTAACATTAGTAATAGTATTAGTAGGCTTACTAATACTATTCGTATTACTAAGGCTACTGATTCAGTGGTTGTAAGCTTACAAGTATTAGGCTTATGATCGAAACGTTGTTGAATAAATCACCTTCCAGTTCCAGATTGACATCTTTCTGTTGTTATACCTCTTTAAAGCTTATAACTATTTTGTTATATGTTATTATTTTTGTTACTAATCGTAGTTTTTTGTTTGTTGTCGGACTCAAAGTCGAGTCTGTTTGCTTCACCTTCACCTCAGACATATTCAGCTTGCTTCCATTTCCAAAGTTCCATTGCACTTTCAGTTTCAGACGTGGTGCAATATTATATATAATAACTTCTGTAATTCACGTTATTTTCAAACAATTTTATTTGTATACATGTATACATATCTTATGTTTAATCAATTAATTAGCTTCTTATGATAAATATAAATATTTATATGTGTACATAAGGGTACACACACACACACATATATATATATATATATTTCAAAATTATGTTATTTATTCATGCATTCATTTATTTTTAATTGCAACATAACACCTTATACTGTGAGTGGAGCAAAGGGAAATTACATAATTCTTAGACACTGCGTATTAACTCCCATATTCCTGCAGAATTTGTGTTACATTTAGTACTGTACTGATAGTAACAAATTGGTGTATTCTGAAGTATGTTAAAAATCTTTTTCTTGTTAATATAAGTGATCGAATATAAAAAGAGTGAGTGTGAAGACCAAAGCACAGAAGCAAAATGTCTGCTTGTACATATGAGATGCTTTTTCCCATTAAAATCATTGCCAATCAGTAGGATAATTGTAATGGTATCTGATGGATGATGAGCAAAATGAGATTAAGTATTTTAAGTCACTTGTATTTTTTCAAATTTTAGAAGAAATCTTCATAAAATAGAGAAATAAAAATTATGAAGAATTAAGTGAGAATTGGGTTTATAAGTGAATTTAACATTAATTGGTTGAGGTTTAAGTTTATGTCACACATTGGAAAGAAAATTGGAAAAGATTTGCCACTTGGTGGAATCTAGGTTTATAACGTGGAAATTTAACAAATGAGTTTTGCATTATCAATCTTATGTTTTATTGAAAAAAGAAAGATAATTCAAGAACAGTACCTTGAACGTACTGTAATTAAAGGTAATTTGCCAAATATTTGTCTAACTAATCAATTGATCCAAATAATTCTGCAGTACCTCAATATCCTCAGTACAGCTAGATGTACCAAAGTTTAATGTCATCAGCAGACTTCAGAAATTTACTAATTAATTTCCCTATTAAAAACAATTTGAGAACTGACCCCTAAGGCAATTGACTAGTAACAAAGGGTCCAATTTGATTGGACTTCAATAATAAAATCATTTTGCTTTTTCCCATCCAAATGCCATAAAATGCAAGTAACTAGTCTCCCCAAACCCTACCAATGTGAGTTTCTGAGCTAATCTTTTGTGTTACAACCTGTCAAAAAGTACCAACTTTTTCATTTCTAACCCCACTGAAATGACACTGACATTAAGCTAGTAGTATTTGCCAAATAGAGTAAATTTAGAATTTTAGAAAAAATTTGTAGAAAAAATCATGGGGAAAAATCCATATGATCACCCCTTAAAAATAGATTAAAAAGTAAGGCTGGCTGTAACAAAGGGTATATTTTGAGATGCAGCACTGATGTAGTTATATAGAGTAAGCTTCCATTGCAAGAGCACTCTATTGTGGCCAATTAAAAGAACTGCAGTTAACTTAAGCAAAACAGGTCTTTATTCATCAGTCACCATTCCAAGCATGTCAATATTTTAGTCTTTTTAACATAAAATTATTTATTAATTAAACATACCTAATAAGCATAATAAATATACCAAAATGGAATAAGTAACACTCACAGTTTGATTCAAATATAAATATGAATATTCTATAGTCAAATTCAGTAGAATCTCGCCTGATTTGTCAGATGTGACAGGTATGTGAGTAGTTTTGTCTACTGTTTGAATAAGTAATTGGTGGTGGAGAGAAGTGATGTAATTGGTGTTAATGTAAGATTGTTTGGTGTAAATCATACCTGGGCAATTTGTTCTTTGAAAGGCAGTTGTAGTTACTTCATTCCCAAGCAATTTCAAGCAAGGCTGTTTTGTCTCATTCACTGTTGCAAGATAAGTCAGTGTGTATGGACTTGTTCATTGTAATTTTTAATACAGGAAAATTTTAATATCAGTCAGAGAATAAAACAAGAGCCTCTGTAGCTGCTATATCAATGACAGGTTTGAAGTTTGATTTATATCTTTGGCCAGTGGTCTTATGTATTGGAAATGAGTACTATAACATTTCAACTTTTAACTGAAAACTATCACATGACTAATTGTATTCTATCAGTTAATTCATCCCTTTTTTGTTCTGGAATTGGATTATATGGGTATGACTATAATTATTGGAAATAAATTCAGTAAAGTTGCCTGCCATTGAAGATAATTTTATCAGTCAGTCAACCATAAGTTTGGGTACTTATTTTCTTAAGATAGTAAGGTATATCATCTAAATGGCTGTCTATTGACATAATCACCTGGGCAACAGTATGTTTATATAATGTTTTTCATAGTATCATTAAAGATAGTATTGCCTCCAACTCTAAAGAAACAAATTGTTCTTGAATCAGCTTAGCATAACTTCAAGATTATTTGATCATATTGAAGTAATATCTTCAGCTTGTATGACTGTATTTGTTTGAATAGATGTTGATCTGAATTACATTGTGTGTGCACATTATCAGTAGTTTTTTATTTTTTTATGAGAAAATGTGTATTAAAAGCATTATTCTTTTATATAGAATTGAAAAAAACATTATTTCTGAATATAGATATACTGCTTTTTTAGGTTCTTGACATTAAACAAGAACATGGAAAAGAAAAAAGAAGCACAAACTTGTTGTCAGCTTTGTAACACAACTCTACTAACAGACCAGGTAAATGTGATTCATTATAAATAAGACTTCAGAAACTAAGACTGTAAGGGTTAAGCAGACTTGGGCTGTCTTCTATCTTTTTATTTGTTTTAATGTTTTGGAGCACGTTTAGGATCCAGAGTTTAAGTTCTAATAAATATCTTATCTAATTTTCATAATGTTAATTGATCTCTGTTCGTACAATTTTTTTTAATTTTTAGAATGCTTCTTTGATTAGCATTGAAATGAAACACCATGTACATTTGTAATAGAAGATCAAAGATACATACTTGATACAGTGTATCACCTAGTATTTTGAAATCATTAACTTTATTACTAATAAACATGTTTTTTGTTTCAGTACTATGTAATTTTCACTCTTCCTTACTCAAGGATGCAAAGTAGCATGTTATATCTACTCCTCCCTTTAAGCTGGTGGACTAATGATTATTATCATTATTTTATCTGCTATTTATATTAACAGTAAATAATAGCTAATGCCTGTATATTATCAGTAAAGAATAGCTAATGCCTGTATATTATCAGTAAATAATAGCTAATACCTGTATATTATCAGTAACTAATAGCTAATGCCTGGAGATATTGATAGTAGTTATTGTTATCACAGTCTGTATTAATTTCAAACCTAAAAAAGTATTTAGAAGTGAATTGCACTTTTATCCACAAGTAAAAAAAAAGACTCCCTCAGTTTTATCTTGGGAAGCTTTGTGTGGCACCATTCCTTTGAGACAGTTATTTTTTTGAGTTTCTCATTTTATGCCTTGTCTTGTGGCTCCTTCCAGATGAGCCAGCCATTGAGTGACTCAGAGGTGACTTGCTTATGGAGCTGCCCCTTGGCTTTGGTCCTGTGGAAGTTTCTTATCTTGCTTCCTTTGTTTCATCAACAAAAGTCAGATCTTTCATTTCAGGACTCTCCCCTTCAGTAGAGCGACAGTTCATTTATTTTCAGCCGGGTTCTGAGGGCTTTTGCACAAAAGATGCACATTTTGGATCTGATTTTCCACCACTATATGGAAAATTGGTCCATCCTTGCATCATTCTGGGAAATATCTTTTGCTGGAACCTATTTTCACTTTGGGAGTTATATTATTTGGGTTGACTTGTCCAGCTCATGAAGTCAGTATTGACCCACATTCAGTATCTGACTCACTTGGAAGTCTTTATCAACTCATTTGCTGGAGCTTCTGTTGTGTCTCCCTTTCTTCCTGTGTGAGAGATTCGGTCTTTCTTGGAGAGTTTTGCTTCTTTCTTTCAAATCCTTTTTCCCCTCTTCATTGGTCTGTGGAATATGTTTAATTGTCCATTTATTTCTCTCCTTCTGTCTCTTCACCTGTTACTATCATGGTGGCTTCATCATTCCCACACACAACCCTTGGAATCATTAGGAAGTTGCCTCTTGATTCATTCAAACAAAATGACAATGAAATTTGCTGAAAAAATGATATCTAGAAACACATTATTCATTTGTTGAAATTGATTTATTATATTTTTAAGACAAGGTGTACAAACAAATTGCACAAAATAGGGTAAGAGTCACAAATCTAGGTATCAACAAACAACTTTTAACACATGTTGACATGAGTTTGATTTCTCTGTCTCCTCCATCTGTTTACTATATGCATTTACACACTTCCTGCTTGATGTCTGGAAGCTTTTGTGTTAAACCACATGCAAGCAGGTATGCGAGCCTGACATTTTCCCCACCCCACAAGAAAAAGAAAGAAAGAAAAAAAAACTAATATGCACATGAGACTACTTGGAACCTGTCTGCAGTCTAGGACATGAACTGAACTGATGACCACCAATATTTCTTTTCATTTCTCCATGATTGACCTCATTTTGGGATACATTGCCCTCTTTCCATCACAAAGGTGCCTGAATGTATTGTATATTTTCATAGGTAAACAAACTTACTGATCTGATCATTTTAAAAACAGGGTCGCAAAAATGTCATGGAATTCTTCAGATCGGATTGGTATCGGCAGCAGGTACAGAGATCTGTTGCAGGCTTATTATAGACATATATATATATATATGTGTGTGTGTGTGTGTAAATCTACTTCATTATAGGTGATTTTGAATGATCACAAATGTGAACTTTTTCATATTTGTATAAGGTATGGTATATATATATACCTTATATCAATAAAAGCAAACTTTCTAACAAACATTCTTGTAAGTGAAAAATTCAATAAATAAAACGAAACTATGGGGCTGGAGCTTGAACCCAAGACTTTTGGCTAACAGGGTCAATGCTCTCTCCAACTGAGCCATCCAAGAATAGAAACTGTCCCCATCTCCCCTTACTCACAAGGCTTTATAACAATAAGTATGAAACTTCATACTACTTTGTGTGATGTTCAGGTAGTTAGTTGGCTGACTTACTATTACCCGACCAAATCATAAGAGTTTAAATACACTCACATATATATTTATTTTTCTATATTTAAGTCATATTATGAATCAATTAAAGTAAAATTTCTAAGAAACCATCCAAAAGTATATGCTATGATAAAGTATTTGCCAGTCTAAGCTGCTATTAAGTGTATATTTCACATAGATTTGAGGTACATGTATTTCTGGTTTGATGTACGTTTAGGCATAACTGTTAATTGATTTCATGATTTGAATTAAAAGCATTGTGAAGAAATATGACATTAACGAATATTTGGAATTTGATATTGATCACAAACTTTCACTACTACATTTTTTTAATCTCATCACCTATTCACAAAGAAAATTAATATTTACAACCATAATAGGACAAATTTGTGTACTGCTGCACTACAGTGGTTTTATTCTGCTTAGAAATGTATTTCAAAGTATATGCTTATAACTGTCTTAATCTAGTCAAATGAATAATGCTCTATAAAGCACATGACATTGTAAGTTTCTGTTTGATTATCCAGAATAGCTGCATACACTGTTCTGCATAAATTACCATCTGGTGTCTTGTTTTCTGTTTTTTGATGATCTTTATTTTGTGTATTATTTTTAATCTTGTGTTGTTGTTTTTTACTAGCATATCTGTAAAGTTTTTATGATAAAATTATTTTTTTTCAGTTAATATGTGTATAAAATTCAAGGATTGTACAGTGTACAAAAGGTGAACTATTAAATTTCTATAGAGAATACAAGAGCACAGTATGTAATTACATCTCTTAGATGCAGGATTTCAAATAGTGTACATCAAAAATTGAAGCTGAAGAATAATGAATTCAATTTTACCTAAATTTAAAGTTGCCAATTTTGATGAAATCAAAGTTAGATTGAGCCACTTTCCTAACTTCCATATATTTTTTTTTAGATTCATCTCGGGCTTTTCTTGTAGTGTGATGCTCAGTATATGTAAAAAATGTTTAATTCCTAGTGACTCACTTAACATACAATAGAAACTTATTGCTCATCAGTATTGTAATGTTGGGCAATAAAAGTGAGATAAGAAATTTTGATCAAATATTATTCTAATAGTTTTTCTTAATCTATTCGGTTTTTGTAGGAGTATTTTGAACACGAATTTTCTTTGATGCATCACATGAAGTTGGAGACAATGAGAAAGGGGTGAGTAAAAATACTTCTAAGTATATTTGCTAATCAGCATTGAAAAATCATTACATCTGAAAGGGTAAATGCTATTGGGAAACTGATTTCCTATTGGTAAGTTTAATATAATATTTTACCTTTTATTACTTTGTTTTTGTTGTCTTTTACAAGGCCTCACAATAATGTATCCAAAATCATTTATACTCCATTGAATATGGCTGGATACATGGTGTTATTGATGTTCATACATCCCAACAGTGGTGGGCACATTTGAAATGATTGCAGGTACAAACAGGAGTTCCAAGATCCCAAAGTCACTACAGTAGGGAAATGATATTTGGGGGCAAGGACCCTGGAAGTTGGAGAATGTTTTTGAACTTTTTAAAGTGAAAATTTAACTAATTTCACTAATTTATAACCCCAATTTAACTTACAAATGTTGTAGAGCTAATGTTTTTAGTAGACACTTTTCTGTATTAAGTTATTTTTATGATTTGTGTCCTTAAAGCTAGAACCCAAAATGTTTATGGTACACCAGAATTATACTTGCATTCCCTATTGTCTGCCATTACATGCCAGCTTGAGTACATTCAAATAACTTTCTATGTAGAATACTTTATATTTGTGTGTTTGTGTACATGGACCAAAAATTTTGTGTCCTGGAATTGAAATTTAGTCATTAACTCTTTCTATATGGGCATCATTTTCTGCACATGTCACAAGGATTTACTGAGTTATATTCAAAATTTAATTAAAGTACTTGGCACCAATATGTAGCTAATTATTCATACTTTAAAATTATGTTATTTTAGTATCATACTTCACATGAATTGCATGTTCAGTGTACAGGTTTGTATGTTATGTGTGAGTTGTCCTGTTTCACAATCACTTCAGACTTCACATGAAATATGTGTTGAATGTGAAGGTTTTATGTTTATTGGAAGTTATTCTGTTGTCTATTAATATATTAAAGTGTTTCCATATTTTGTTTAAACTAGGACTTAAAAGTTATGGACATGTTATGCATCTATATTTAAGATATTATAGATGTAATTACAGTTTGTAGAATTATACACCGACTTTTCTCTATGTTAAAATACTTTTATTTGCAAGCTTTCAGCCCTCTTACTGAACCCTTCATCAAGCAACATTGTACTGAGTGATAAAATTTTTTATCACTCAATACATTGTTGCATAATGAAGACTCCGATAAGAGGGACAAAAGTTCACAAATAAAAGTAGTTTAACGTCCATGTATAATTCTACATATTAATTTATCTACATTATGAGTTTTATAAAATAATTACAGTTTTATAACAGAAGCTTATATACTTCTATACACTATGTAGGAGAAGTCATTTCTGCACCTTATGTAAGATCAACATTCCTGGTATAAAAAATTATGCAGATCATCTTGATGGAAGAAGACATCAAAAAAAGTTGAAACATGCAAGAAATATTTGGTAAGAATGTTGTTTACTTTGGTAGTTAAAGGTTCAGTATGTGTCTTTTATATTTTATATATACTTCTTGTTATAACTTGTAATTATAAACTGAAAAAAAAAAAATATATAACATAATTTTTAGCCATTCTTTATTATTCCACATCAGATACGCTGCATAAACATTGAGTTTTGATATATTTTTCATATGATAACCAGAAAGGGTTACAGGTCCTTACACCAATAAATTATAGTTTATGCCATTCTCTGTATTTTGTTTCAAAATAGTTTCTCAAGTGCAATACTAATAGGAACTATGTTTCTGTTAATCTGAAATTTGTTAACAACCCTTAGAGAATGCTTCAAAGTATTAATGATTTTATTTAGGTAGTGATGAATGTACTATTACTTGTGAAGATCAAGAACACATGCCACAGGACATTTTTGTGTGTAGTGTTGGTTAAAGTACACATAAGTACAGTAAATGGAATGATTTCAGTATGCCTTGAGCTGATAGAAACAACAAGTATTTTACATAATCTTAAAACACTTAAATATACTTGAAAATGAAGCAGCCAACATTGTTATTCATGTAATTTGTTTTGCATAATCTTGTACTTAAAATTCAGTTATTATGATAAGAAATTTGAAGTGTTTATATATTTTTGAAAATGCTTATTAGATAAAATTACAATAATAACAACAGACTAAGGTGTGTGTGTTTTTCTATTTTTTTAAAACCAATCAACTTTACTCTTGTGACATGGTCAAGAAGCATGTTAATTTTCTCTTGTTTCCATGGGCAACATAACCCTTAAAGATCAACATTAAAATACAGAAAATTTTAAATGAAAGTCAAAGTAAACTGCATAACATTACAAAAAAGACTAAAAAGAAAATTAATTGTAATTTAGTGAAACATACAAAAGATAATCACTTTCAAATAATAAAGTGATACAATGGAATCTTTTATGTTAACTACAATAGACACTCAAGGAATATGTGGTCAAATTAGTATCTTTATTGCAAAAGTACTTCTTTAAATACAAGATTTCTAGAATAATATAAATGGATTGTAATTGTAGACATTGAAATGTATGTAGACTGTACTTCATAAAACCTTAACTAATGTCAGGCCAAAGTTCGATAAAGAGATAAATTAACACTGTAACTTATGTATGTTTTTTACTTTAGTTAAGTTAGGACTAAATTTTACTCTACTTAATAGTATCAATAAATAAATTTATAATGTTATTGTAAGCCTAACATCAGACCTTTTTGAAAACTTTAAGGTTTTAATGTTGTTGTACAAAATGGTTAGTAAAGTATACTTACATCTGCCTTTTGTTATTTCTTCATTCATAGAGCAGTTGTAGTAACTTATTCACTGAGCTATTCAGCTCTCTGCCGCAGGCAGGCTGGTTGTTATAGAGTTCATAATGCATATGCATGGTTTTTGTTGGGTAAAATTCTTACTGAGCATGCTTATAATGCTTAAGTAGAATTATAGTATGATTAGCATTTAAATAGACAAATGAAAACACTTTTAAACAATGAAATACACAGGAAAAAAGAAAATCCTTTAACAGTGAACGTTTCATAAAAATACCATTTAACTCCTTTCATACAGGGTCAATCAGTGTAGCTTTGCGCGAAATTAAAAACAAACAAAACAAAAACCATTTGATTGGCCTTATAACCACCACGAAAAATACAAAATAAATCTAAATTACTCTTTTTTTTTCTTTCTCAAATGACTGCAGATTGTAGCAGAAAATTACAATTATTTGTTCTAAATAGCTTAAGGCTTGTAACAGTTTACATTTGTTTTTATTTCATTTTATTATTTTAATACTTTTTGAACCATGTGTAACTAATAATCCTATGATGCAAGATGTAAATAACATGCTAAATGTGTAGCTCAGCTTATGGTATGGAATGATGTAACTCACAAGCATACCTTGTGGAAAATGTTTTTGTTATTTTTTTCATTATATAACCTAATAAGTTCATAATTTTTACATTTTAGTTACTTTTACAACAATCAAAAATATGAAATTTAATACTTACACATGGCCTCTTTTTTTCTTGCTGTTGGCCTGCCAGTGAAACTTAAGCCTACTAGTACTAATACATCAAATAATTTCATTTTTATCAAATATGTACTTGAGAACACAAAATAGTAGCACACACAAAGCCAACAATACCCTAAAGTATAATATAATTTAACTGGCTTTCTAAGGCATAAGTGCCTTAAAATAATTCCCTTGGATGTTTGATCAGAACTTGGCTATAGCAACTTCAGGGTCTGTTGGCAAATTAACTAAAAATCTCTACTGAGAAGAAAGTAACATTGTATGTCTTTCAATAAATTAAAACTTTATTCTTCTGTTGGTTATAAATGCTGTAATTGCAAATGTCAGAGAAAATTATTGGCAACTTGTGAAAGAGAAGATGTGATAGATGGGTGTGGCAAGTGGGTCTGACTTTCTGTTTTATACCTCAGTAAAAATAGAAGATTGAAGGCTATAAAAATTAGACTATGCCTTAGTAATAGTTACACTATAATGAATAATTTACAGGAAACTAAAGACATCACAGAGGGATGATGAAAAAATAAAAAAATGGGGAAGTTGGAGCAAATAAGTGACAAGTTACAAAGACAAGGGGAGATTAAGAATTTATTTAAGTATTTTGTTTTGAAATTAAGAAATTAAAATATATAAAATATTCAAATTTGATTTAGTAATTACATTTTGATACCAAATTTATTTGTATAGGTTGATAATGGAGTAATTTAATTAAATTTTGAATGTAACTCCATAAAATGTCATGACATATGGACTTCTACCTACTTATATCAAGAGGGTTAAAATGACAAAATGATAACATCATCAGTAAATTTTCTGAAAAATAAAACCCTTTTTAAACAACAGTTCAGAGAGTTGTTTTGTAGCTGTGTGATTACATGTTATCATGCATATTGAGTTACCTTGTACAAGTAAGTTGATTATCTTTATATTAGTGTAGTACAGTTTGCATCATTTTTAAATTTAGCCTTACTACAGGTTACAAATTGTACAAGCCTAAGGCCAACATTAAAGGAGGAAATAAACAGTCAGCATTCATTAAATTTCTGAGCTATCTAGAAAATAGGAACAAAATGCTCAGAATGTTTACATGAAAATGTCAATAAAAATAACTTGCAATTAAATTTAATAGAGTTTAAATGTCTTTGTAAGAATGCTATAAAAACTTAAGTATGGAAAATCTCAAAGTGATTGATCAGTAGGCCATCATGTGAAGGTATAATGTGAAAGAAGGACAGTAAAACACTCATGGAATGTGAAGTTACATATTTTAAAATAACTTCTTTTCAATTGTATTTCAGCAATTCTGGGTAAGCAAGGACATTGAATGTATGAAATAAAAGTGTGAAGTAAATAGTACACATAATACACGTTCAGTTAGATTCATTGAAAAAATGTCTTAACAGATGTAAAATATACTGTATATTATAAAGAGTTACATGAAAGTGCTGTTATAACTCATTTATTTTGATTAAGAAATATATTCTTCCATCAGTGAAAACTCATTGTTAATGAATAAGTTTTTTGCATAGGTGGCAGAACATATTTGAATTTGGTTGGGGGTATCTTATTTGCTGTGTTAATCATGACCATTGAATTCAAAACTGAAACAGTGACTTTCCATTATAGCTGTACACAACTCTCTATACCCTATTTAAAGGGGCACTTTGCGACTGGGTCAAAATTGGAGAGCATGTGACACCCATTTCCCCCGCTTATGGTTTCTTGTCTTATTCCTGATTAAATTTATTTCAAGTTAACATGCTTATGTTTTGAAAACTAAATATCATCAGAAATTATCCCATTTTTTATCCTAAGTATAACTGAACACAACTGTATGTAACCTAACAAAATCACTAGCTATTGTATGTACTAAGGAGGTAGAAAAATTACAGAAATATTCAACATTTGACCATAACTTGTAATGCTGAAAAAATTAACTGTTGTATGAAAATTTACTGACTTCCAACTACAATACTGCAGTATACTTTAATAAGAACAAAGACAGAATATATCATATAATAGTAATAGCTTAGTCTTAAGGTATGTTGCATATAAAACTGTATTTGCCAGTCATTTCTATTTTTCCCTATGTCACTCTTATGGTTGCTAGATCATTCCTACACAATCCAGGACTTCTTTCTTTCACCATCATGCCTGGACATACCTATTCATGGATGTTTCTCTTGCCTGGTAGGGTACATTTCTGGACACTTTTACTATTTTTGGCATTTGGTGTTCAGAGGAGTGGTCTCTTAACATCATCATCGTTGAGATATTGGCAGTTCAATGGGCCTGCCATCATCATCTTGTATGTATGTTAGG